GACACCAACCAGCACCTCCCACCCACTGCACACTGACCCACAGCAGCCTGCCACGTGGCCTGCACCACATTCACCAGCACGCTCCGTACTGAGGCTCATGTAGCCCATCAGTATGGCCTTCACCTTCCTGCATGGCACACCAACCATGACAGGGACTGCCATTCCTCGTGGGACCCTAGCCACGCCGAGCGTCGTCCCTGGCCCAGCAGCATCCCAGCACCTGGGAAAACGAATGCAGGAGACAAACACACCCTGCTCCGAGGCATAGCCCTAAAGAACCCCGTACGTTTCTCTGCACAGAGCCTCAGCCCCATATGTTTCAGCCGTTCATGGCTTCATTCATTTATTCAGGAAAAATCATTAAGCACCTGCTAGGTGCGAAGCCTTTTGCTAAGCACTGGGAGTCAACACTGACAAAGATAGTCACAACCTTTCAATCTAGTCGAGAAGACAGACATCGCACTGAACAAGCAATTACAATAGAGTGTGATGAGTTTGTGGATGGGACACTAGTGGGGGATCCATCCCCAGGAATCAGGAAGAGCCTCAGTGAGGGGGAAGGAGCAAGGCCCCTCGAGGGATGGGGGCTGGAGGTGGGTGTAGCCTGGGGAAGGGCATGGACGTCGCAGGTGCTCCACTGTGCACGACAGAGCCGGGGAGGGATGAGGACGCCCTGCGTGTCTGAGTGACTGGAAGAAATTCAGAACTGCTTCCTCATGGAGGGCGGGAGCCGAAGCTGGGGAGGGGACAGATGCTGGACCCTGGAAGACCCCAAAAGCCATCCATGCTCCAGAAGAGTCAGCATTATTCTGGGGGCAGCTGAGAGCCAGCAGGGAAGCTTTGAGCAAGAGGGATGCCATCAGATGCACATGTAGCCAAGTTACTCAGGTAAATTACAACACGCCAACGCTGGTGGGTCTCTGTGGTTCGGAAGAGTGTCCTGCAATCGGCTCCTCGCCATAATAAAAGTCAGCACCGAGAACAGCCTTGAAGCTCATGGTCTGAACCTCCAGTAACAGCACCCTTCACTGATGTTTGAATTGAACCCTCTGTTCTTGCCCATGATTTTTCGCCTGCTGCACTCCAGTTAATAGCACGGGTGAATCAGGAATGCCGACAGATGCACGCAGGCCTTGTAATCACCCGCAAGGCCCATGGCACTCTGCACACCCTTGCCTCGGGCCCTCCGGGATGTGTGTGTAAGAGGAAATGGGAGATCCCTGAGAGGGGGTGAGGACTCTGAGGCCAGCATCCACAGCTACAAAGGCATATGTGCAGGTTGACTCGAAAGAGGGGGCGGTATATCCATGATTATTCTTTCCTTTTTTCTTTTAAGATTTTATTTATTTGAGAGAGAGAGAGAGAGAGAGTAGCAGCAGCAGAGATAGCAAGAGAGAGCACAAGTCGGGAGGAGAGGGAGAAGCAGGCTTCCCGCTGAGTAGGGAGCCCCATGCGGGGCTCGATCCCAGGACCCTGGGATCATGACCTGGGCCAAAGACAGATGCTTAACCCACTAAGCCACTTAGGCACCCCCATAATTATTTCTAGCTCAGTCTCAGGGAGCAAGGGCCATGCCTGCTTTCCCTCATTGCTTGTGGTGGGACGTCTTGAAGAATACAGCCCAGTCCAATCACTGTACTTTGAAAGTCAAAGTTAAACCCACGAGAGGGAATTCAAGACATCGGCTGATTGAAAATCCTATCAAATGCAGAGCAGTCGAGGATCCTCTTGATCTTTCCTAATTATTGTGGTATTTTTATAGTATCTAGGATAAGAATAGCTACTTTTTTCTGAGTATCTTCTATGAGCCAGGCACTGGTTAGATCTTTTATACTCATTATCGCTGAGCTGGAAGTTCGAAAATATTTACCCAGTTGGAATGGACTCAGGGGTAAATAACCAGTACCAACAGGAACCAGTTAAACGTCAATCTGACTTTGAGCAATCGCTACCCAAAGACTATACACCGAGTCCATGGGCCACATATGACTTGTGGATGTGTTTAATCGGGCCTGAACGGTGTTTAATTTTTAAAGACGTGTTGCTGATACACCAAAAGATAGAGATCGCATACAAAAGTCTTGATGAGGATGGGGGGTATGAGGAGCCTGCCTCCTGCAGGACTGACCAGGCCAGCCCAGTGCTTGGCTTGTAGAAGATGCTTGGAGAAAGGCAGCTGTTCTTATGGATGATGTAAAACAGTATTACAATAATTAGTAACGGTCAGTAGGGTCTGCAACCATGCCGCTGGAGATAAGCACCTGGCTCTCGGTCTGCCCCTTGTCCCCAGCCACCCCCCTCTCTTCTTTACATGATCTGCCTGGCTTCTAAGGCACCTGAGCCTGTGACCTGTTCCCAGAATAGCCCCCCCCCCCCCACGTCACCCAGACTAGATGAGAACCAATGTCTTCCTCTTTAAGAGATTTTCCCCCACTGGGGCACCTGGGTGGCTGAGTCAGTTAGTCGGTTAGGCATCTGCCTTCAGCTCAGGTCATGATCTTGGGGTCCTCGGACTGAGCCCTGCATTGGGCTCCACGTTCAGCATGGAATCTGCTTCTCCCTCTTCCTCTGTGCAACCCCCTCCTATCCAATCTCTCTCTCAAATAAATAAATAAAATCTTAAAAAAAAAAAAAGAGAGAGGGATTTCCCTCCTTGCCATGTTCCCCTGGCCACAGCAGAGAATATCAGGCTGGGGTACATCAGATTCCCCTGGAGTGCCCCACCCCCAAGACTACTGAGCCAGGGTTTCTCAGGGCCTGAGCATTTTAGCCCTCAAATTCCCAGGGGATACTGCTGGTCTGGGGAGCCACCCTTTGAAAACCACCGGTCTACAACTAAAGAATGAACTGTCCCTGTCATGGCAATGGGTTCAACGCACGTGAAGACAGGGTATTTGCAACCCTCCTCTGGCCAAGTGAGGAGGCGGGGGAGGTACCCATTCTGAGACCTCATGAACAGCCCCACGAAACCCAAGTCAGTTTTGTGTCCCGTCTCTGAGCTCCCAGTTTCCTGAACAGACAACCTGTTCTTGTCTCCCAGGCTGCCATTTTGATCTTTTCCCAAAGGGTTCATTAGAAGTGATGACACTGCCTGGCACAGTCCCTCTCTGGCCCCAAGTGCACACATGGACACACCATCTCACGGAAGAGCATCAGTAGGCCTCAACACTGTTCAACCCCTCAAAGACCCCACACCCAAGACATCGATCAACATGTGACCCCACTAACGAAAATAATGATCAACAGTCCCACTCAGTGTGCCAGCTACGCGCCCGGCCAGCAGTGAGGGCATCATGCATCACGATGGTCCTCTGACGTAGGGACTGTTAACGTTGCCACATCACAGAGGATGAAACAGGGGAGCAGAGAGGCAACCGGACTCCTTCAAGTTCACCAGCTCCAGAATGATCAAGAGATTGTCAGTGGGGCCCACTGTATTCATTTGAGGGCCAGACACTATTAAAAATATTGTGCTGATGGCCTGGGAGACACTAGGCATCTGGAGGTGACGTCACCTGGGACATGCTTGCAGGTGGAAGGTGTGTGTGTGCGGGGGGAGAGGGCGTGGGGGTGTTTGGCCTGGAGAGCACAGGATTCAGGAGTGTAAGACCAGCATCTGCAAAGGTCCAGAGGACGTGCTGTAGAGAAAGGCTCAGGGGGATAGCGGTTCTGGGGAAGCTGAGTTGACACCAGCTTGTACACCTGCAACAGCTGGAAGGACTGGGTGCAACTGGCTGTCTCCAGGCTTCCTGACCCCAGGGAGTGACCAGAGAGACGCAGGACACATTGGGGTGCTGGGAAGGCAGAAGCTAACGGTGCAGGCTGGAGGGGAAGGTGCGGCACCAGGCAGATGTAAGAATCAACAGGCGGGGGTGGGGAGGTGAGGGAGCTTTCTCCATCCTGCGTGCCCTTTGCTCCCTGGGCACTGTGATCCCCCTCGAACAGAGTGGGACTGTGTGAGGTCTGGATCCCTGCTTCATCACACTGGGGCTGAATGACCCCGGACAGAGCGCTTAACCTCTCTGAGCCTCCCTCCCCTCTCCCCTCTGCCAAAGCTTGTTGTGAGGATCTCATCAGAAGCCACACACGGCACGCTTCACGTGATGCCTGGCACAGAATAAGGGACCAAGAATTCCTAATAGCAAAATAACTACCCTTGTCATCACGGAGTTCACGAGGTCGGGTTTCGGGGACGACATTTACGTTCACAGTTCAGCCTCCAGAGGACACTTCCCAGCTCATCGTGAAGTCACGGGGTCTCCCTTCTTAATCTAACCAAGAAACAGCCTGTCTGGGGAATTGCAGCTCGGTAAAATTCAGTGTGAACTCCTCCTCCCCGGAGGCTGACAAGGATCCCGCTGAGTCTTTGGGGAAGGGAAACCCTCCTGGGTGCACACGACTGGGAAGGAGGCTTTTCCTCTTGTCCTCAAAGCCGGGTCAGCACTCAGAGCCTCCAAGAGGTCTAGGAGCACGCCAGCTTTTGCTTCCTTCTGTTTTGCCTCGGGTGGGAGCTGGCCGGTGGGGCCGTCTGATTTACTGACTCAGACGCGGTGTACCGGTGTACGGTTCAGGATTACATTTAAATCCCGCGGAGGTAAACAACATGACCTTTTCAATGTCAGGACGAGGAGAAAGCGACACAGTCGAACCAAGGAAAGAACAAGGGCAAAATGAGACTCCGCATCCCTATCCAAAACTGGATCTGAACTCCGCTTACCAAAGGACCCTCTCCCAAAAAAAAAAACCATCAGCGAAGACAATTAACCATAACTGAACCGATTACACAGAAGCCTGGGGGCGACCGTCCTTCCCGCTTTCTTAGAGGCCGGGCTGCGTGGATGGAGAGCTCCGGGTTTGTACCCGGTGACGGTGTGCCTCAACTTACAGACATACTCGGGTAGAAGCATCGATGTCTCAGAGCACCGCGGGCGCACACGACGGGAGAGGACAGAGCGTGTCATGCGTGTGCATCCAAGAGTCCGAGAGGACAGTTTACTTACGGCTTTTGGCTTGTACGGGGGCTGGATCTCTTTGCGCTCCAGTTTCTCCCAATCAATATACCGGAAAAACGCGTGCTCCTTGATGTCGCGCTCACCTTCGGGTCCGCACCCCAGGCGTTTGCCCGGGTGTTTGGTCATCAGCTTCAAGAGAAGAAAAAGGCTGAATTTAATGAACTTCGGGGGAGGATGCATAAGCCGCCCAGAGGGGATGACTCCCGGGAATTAGGGAGGAAAGCACCATGAGAGTCTCCATTTTTATTGCTCGCTTTCCATCCCAGACAATAATTTCCCAGGGAGGTCTTTGGTTTTTGGTTTGTTTTTTTTTTTAATCTGTTTTATCATTTTATCTGTCTGTCAAATAAATAAAATCTTTAAAAAAAAGATTTTATTTATTTATTTGACAGAGATCACAAGTAGGCAGAGAGGCAGGCAGAGAGAGGGGGGGTGGGAAGCAGGCTCCCTGCAGAGCAGAGAGCCCGATGCGGGGCTCGATCCCAGGACCCTGAGATCATGACCTGAGCCGAAGGCAGAGGCTTTAACCCACTGAGCCACCCAGGCGCCCCATCAGTGACATCTTTGTAATCGGAGGACCCAACAACACTGCTGCTTGTCCCAAAGCAAGATCGCTTATGGTTAATCGAACCTGAGCCTCAATGTGGTCCTGAACTTTAAGTGAGAAATGTCACCAGATGCATTCTTGTTGAAGAATGAGTTTTACGCAATTACTGGGGCGTTTAATGAGAACAGTTTCAATATCTTCAAATTCCTCCACCTCCCACCCCGAGGAAGCTGGAGTGTGACCAAGGCAAAGGCCACATTCATTCTGATAATATTTGCATTTCTCAGTAAAGCACTTGTGAAAAGGACAAAACAGAAGAAAAAAAAATATTAGTCGAATGGGCCCAAGTTTCAAGTAATTACTTTCTGAAAGCTCATTAAATAGTCAAAACCTATCCCAGCTCATTTTGCTTGTATCACACATTACACAAAACTCCGCTGAGGTTTCTTTGGTGTTCCATTTAAATTACTTAATTATCAAAACCCTCCATCTTTGGGTCTCTGAGCCGATGCTAAATAACAAGACGGATAGAGGCTCCAAGATGAAACCAGACAGACCTCCTCTCATCAATGAATCCAAAGCAGCATGAAAATCTCTCTGATCTCGAGACTCGAGCAAATGCACCAAGAGCAAAGACGGAGGGGTTGTGATTAAAAAAACTAACAAACAAGCAAACAAAAAACAAAACCCAAAACCAACAAAAAGGCCTCAAAGAGGAAAAACAAGCAACTGGACCATACGAGACCAAGAAGCTTCCCAGAGCTGACCAGACACCATGATGCCAGAGACCTTAGACTGTGCCCAGGATCTGTGGATCACAGCAAGGAGATTCCTGCTTCCAGGTAACTTGTCATCGGAAACTCTCCCCTATATTCACACAAACACACATATTCTCCATATACGCTTTACATGCCAGGGGGAAGATCACCAGGCACTTATATTCCGAGGTGTTATGTGATCTGCACGCACGATCTTACCTAATTCTCACAATAACCCAACGAGGTGGGCATATTATTTTTCCAATTCCAATGACAAGGCAATTGACACTCAGAGATATGAAACAGATAGCAAGGACATGGAGAGACAGGGAGTGGCAGAGGTGGGACTCGATCTCATGTCTGCCCACTCCCGAACTTGGGTTTTTAATGAGAGAGCCCTTCTGGGGTGGGCTTCCCAGGGATATCTGTGGCTTGGCTCGGTCAGGAAGGGTTTATAGAGGGCAAGCACATTGGACCAAGCCCTGACATTTGTGTAGGATTACGATAGGAGGAAAAAAAGGGCTACGAGGGTCTGGTTAGCACTACCACTAACATTAGGGCATCACTGAATGCCCTCTGTGTATGGAGTACTTCCTATGTGCCTAGGCTCTGCACTCGAGGCTTCCTAGGCATTACTCATCTTTATTTTCAATTTACAACTATTATCCTCATTTCCCAGATAAGAAACTGGGTCCAGAGAAGTCATTTGCCCAGAGGCACACAGCTAAGTAGCAGACCAAGCTTTGAAGCAGATCTGCCTGACCCAGAGCTCTTGTTGCTCTGTGCCGTGTGGTCTGCTTGTTTTCATGCTAACGTGCGGCCAACTGGGGCTTCTGTCTGCTTTAAGTTTGTTCAAAGTGGGAGTGGCAATCTGAGCAAAGTCATATTTAATTTTTTTTTCTGGTAGCAAATACGTTCTTTAATGGGATGGATATATAAAGTACCTTTCAATCAGAATGGAACGGGTTTCAAAAGCCCAGTTCCATTTCCCTGCAAGGACGAGGATGCCAAGCGAAGAAAAGCCACTGCAAAGTCACCCGGCACTCCTAGCGCGAGTCTCTGCCCAGTTACCGCGCTCCGCTTGGAGCTGATACGCCCAAAGCCATGCAGACAGCTGGATTTAATCACTGTTCCATCTCTGATCACCTCCCAGACGCATTCCCTGGGGCCCGCTGCTCGGGAGGAAGCATTTGCCGTTGGCTCGCACAACCCTTCTTCTTTGGAGCCTCAGCCTTGAGGAAAGAGCCCACACTGGACTCAGCCTGCTCAGCTAAGAAAGGTCCTCGAACCCATGGGTAAGAAAGTCACACCAGTTAATCCTGAAGGTTATGGGTCCTAAATTAATAGAAATCTGCTCTACCAGGGAAACCGCTAATTGGAGCTGAAGCTGAATGCAACTGACCTGGAAAATCCTCTCTCCTCCATGACCCACTTAGATCCCCCAGCTGTCCGGGCAGGACAGAGTGGGGGAGGGGGAAGGTCTTGAGCACATATTAATTAAGAACCTACTATGCGCCAATACCACACAAGGAGCTTTCTGTTACCTGATTTAGTGCTCTCAAAAACCTCTGTTCCATGAGTAGTAGTAGTCCGTTCTTAAAGATAAAGAAACAGAAGCCCAGAGGTACAAAGTAGGACCATACACCAAGGAAGTACAAGTATCGAGATGTGCAGAGGGTCTCGATCTCCCAAACCCCCACTTAAAAAATTCCTATTGTAGGGAGCGCCTGGGTGGCTCAGTGGGTTAAGCCTCTGCCTTCGGCTCAGGTCATGATCCCAGGGTCCTGGGATCAAGCCCCACGTCAGGCTCTCTGCTCAGCAGGGAGCCTGCTTCCCCCTCCCTCTCTGCCTGCCTCTCTGCCTACTTGTGATCTCTCTCTCTCTCTCTGTGTCAAATAAATAAATAAAATCTTTAAAAAATAAAAAATTCCTATTGCTGTGTATGCATATTTAAATGCCAAGAGAGGCCTGGCAGGTAACATAGTGGTACACAGTATTAGTAATAACAATCACAATGGCCCAGGCTCTGTTGTAAGAACCAGGCTCTGTTGTAAGGGGTTCACTTGCATTGACTCATTCAATCCGTACTATCATTAGCCTCGGTCCACAGACAAGGTTGAGGGACTTACCCACAACTATAGGGCTAATAATGCCGGAACCAGGATTTGAACCCAGATGGAACTGGGCCAGATGGAGAGTTCTGCAAATTGGAGAGGGCATGCCCTATCTAAAGGGTACATGGGCTTCCCACCCAGCTGGCTGATGCTTTCTTTATAGGAATGACAGACTAGCATGGAGAGATCAGATTTTTCAAGAGAAACTGGAAAGTTAATGTTTATGGGAAATGCCCTGCTCTTGAAATGCTGGCCATTATTAAACAAACTAAAAGCTCAGTGTATGACCTCCACCCACTCTTCCTCCCCCATGAGACTATGTCTAGGGGGGTTCTGCACTGACCTTACACTGGGCTAGTGATTCACCAGGAGTGAGGATCCAGGTGGTGTTGATGAGGTGCTCTAGATGGAGACGTTGGCCCAGCTTTTACAAACTATTTGAATTTTCCAGGTTTTCTGCACCTAGCCTAGCTCACGCAGCATCTGACTCGTGCCAGGAAGAGTAGGGCTGGATTGGGCAGTGGGAAACCTAAAAATACCCCAAGGATCTAGGACCAGCAGCCCTGGTTTCTTCAGACGCACAGGTGGGAACCCACTGGGAAGGCATGGCCATGCCCTAACCTTGAGAATGCACCTGTGCCCCCCAGCTGGTGGGAGACTGAATACTTCATAAAGGCAGCCTCCGAGGGCCATATTCTCTGGGGCTCTCCCAGCATTGCCTGTTCACCTGCATCAGAGCTGAAATGCTACCACATCTGGATAACTGGTTTAAAGGGAATGGTTTTTAAGCCACCCAGGGACTTCTGCAAAATACTGATGTCCAGACCATCTCCAGGGTGAACCTGAGGTTTTGTACGATCTGAAGAAATACTTCAGGTCATTGTGATGGCACGAAAGGTGAGGACAGCTGATCTCCAGGGACTCAGCCAGGTCACTATGAGCACTTCGTGGCCCAGGGCCAGGTGCATAACAAAGCAATCCTCACTGGCAAACACAGGCCCTGCCTTGTCTTCAACCACTGCCATGTACAAAATGCATGTGATTTTCAGCCATTTGTGGGGTGGTGGGGGGAGACTAGGGGTTCTGAAGGCACTACATTTGGGTCAGCTTATCCAGAGAATCCCTCAAATTCAGTCTTTCGTGATATTCTCATAAGACAGACGTTACACGCTGTTCACATTAGCCACGCACATAAGCCGCAGAGAAGGGCAAGGTTGTCAGATAGGCACTGCCGGCCTCTCGTATCCTTTCCCATGGGTTCCAGCTCTTTGGCAAGGTCTCTGCGTTTCCTATCTCATTCATCCAATATGCATTCCCCTGTGTGGGCTAGCGCCTGGAGCCCAGCCAGCAGCAAGATACAGCTGTCGGCAGACCTCTCCAGTGCTTGTGTGCAGACTGGAAAAAAGCTCCTTTTGCTCCGGGAGGTAGCAGGTGCACGCCAGGCTCACAGGCAGGCAAGTGTGGGGAGGGGCAGAGTTCAGTCTCCATCTCCCCACCCCCACCCTCCCCCAGGTGAGGTGCCCTTTTGCAGGGCACAGCCTGCCTTCTCCGCATGCAGTGGTCCTGGCCGCAAGCTTACAGGGGCTCACTCACCCCTTTGCAGATGGCCACAGCTTCCTTGGACATGGACTTGGGGTAAGCCACGTTGTGTTCCATGATGGACTGGAAGAGCTCATCCTCGTCCTCGCCTTCAAAGGGTGCCTGTGGGACAGAAGACAGTGTGGGAGGACAAGGATCCTGCCTAAAACCCTCCCAATTTGCCCCGAACCACCGGGCCCTTTCCCCTGGGAAAAGATTCTCCTTTCACTCAGTAGCTTCCAGGGAAAAGATTAGGAAAAACGTTCTAAAGACTTCGGTAACCCCAAGGCCGTGGAAGTCACAGGGCTTCCAACCTAGACGCCGATATCAAGCGGACACCCTTCTTCTAGAGAAACCACGCAGATGGGGGTAGGGGAGGACTTTTCCCGCAAATCACTTAAAATTCAATTACCTGCCCAGCCAACATTTCATACAGCAGGACTCCAAAGGCCCACCAATCCACAGACTTCCCGTAGGGCTGGTAGGCAATGATCTGGAAAACAGAAACCATTCCATCAGGGAGGCAGGCAGGTTCTCGCCAAGGCTGGAGACCCAACGCTCACTCCTTTTAGTAAGCTCGGAGCACCCTGGGGCTGGGAGGAGGAGGGGGAGCTCTTCCTTGACCGTCATCTGCCTATTGTGAAGGATTAAATCAGCTGTTACAGTCCCAGATGTGGGCCACTGTCAAAAAGAGTGACTAAGGAGCCCAGTGTCCACTTACCCACCTTAGGAAGATAGATCACCTTTACCGGGGGCCTGCAGGTGCGGGGAAAACATTTGTGGATGCTACATTGCCTTTCCAAAGCACTTAGCACAGTGTGTTCTTGTTAATTTCCATACGGTGAGTGTGGCATCCTTAAGAAGGAAAACCGTCTTTGTTTCTTGGGACAAAAGTAATAACCTTTACACAACCACAGGAATGAGCTTCGCACTACTGAACTGTATACTTCGGGAAGGTTACGAAGGTAAATCTTTTTTTTTTTTTTTCAAAGATTTTATTTATTTATTTGTCAGAGAGATAGAAAGAGTACAGGCAGGCAGAGTGGCAGGCAGAGGTAGAGGGGGAAGCAGGCTACCTGCGGAGCAGGGAGCCCGATGTGGGACTGGATTCCAGGACCCTGGGATCATGACCTGAGCTGAAGGCAGCCGCTTAACTGACTGAGCCACCCAGGCATCCCAGTAAATCTTATTTTTATTCTTTTTACCACAATTAAAGAATCTTAAGTTAAAAAGTTGTAAGAGTACTCGTACTGTTTCACTATGTATTTGAAAATACCAAGAAGCAATAAATAAATAAATAAAAAGACAAGCTAAGAGAATACAACTAAAATTACCCATAATCATTCATCAAGAGAAAAATGATGATAGCTCTTTTGGTCTATTTCCTCTTAGAGTCCTTTTTATTAATATATAGTAAAGTGCGCATATGCATGTGTTTTAACATGAACACAAACACGTTAATATGTGGAATTTTAATGAAGTAATCCATTCTGGCCTCTGCCCGGCATTCCATTGGATGGATATACCAAAATCTACTTCGCCAGTTCCCAACTGATTAGGTTTCTTCTGATGCTCTGATACAGATTCTTATAACTGGGTATATGGACATTTGTCCAATTATTTCCTTCGGGAAAATTCCTCAAAATAGCATTAGTGGATCAAATGGTAGTTTTTAAAAATTTTTAAATTAAAAAAAATTTAAATTTAAAAATTTTTAAAAATCTGTAGTTTTTAGAAGTTATTTTTATTTTTCATCATGATAGGTGTTCTTCACTTTAATCCCCATCACCTCTTTCACTCATCCCCCTCCACCAACCTCCCCCATCTGTTTTTTCTCTATAATTAAGAGCCTGTTTCTTGGTTTGTCACCCTTTTTTCCCCTTTGCTCCTTTGTTTTGTTCCTTAAATTCCACATACGTGTGAGATCATATGATAATTGTCTTTCTCTGACTTATTTCGCTTAGCATTATCCTCTCTAACTCCATCCATGTCATTGCAAAGGGCAAGATTTCATTCTTTTTATGGCTGAATCACATTTTAGAGAGAGAGAGAGAGAGAGAGAGAGCGTGCACAAGAGCACACGTCTTATTGATCTATTCATCTACTGATGGACACTTGGGCTACGTCCTTTGCCTATTTTTTTTTTTAATATTTTATTTATTTATTTATTTATTTGACAGAGAGACACACGGTGAGAGAGGGAACACAGGCAGGAGGAGTGGGAGAGGGAGAAGCAGGCTTCCTGGAGGGCAGGGAGCCCAATGTGGGACTCGATCCCAGGACCCTGGGATCATGACCTGAGCTGAAGGCAGACGCTTAACGACTGAGCCACCCAGGTGCCCCTGTCTGGCTATTTTAAATAATGTTGCAATAAACATAGAAGTACATGTATCCCTTTGAATTAGTGTTTTGGCATCTTTGGGGTAAATATCCATGAGTGCCATGACTGCATCATAGGGTAGTTCTATTTTTAAGTTTTTGGTGAACCTCCACACTGTTTTCCACAGTGGCTGCACCCATCTGTACTCCCACCAACAGGGGAAGAGGGTTCCCCTTTCTCCACATCCTCACCAGCACCTGTTGTTTCTTGTGTCATTGCTTTTAGCCGTTCTGACAGGTGTGAGGTGGCATCTCATCATGGTTTTGATTTGTATTTCCCTGATGCTGAGTGATGCTGTGTACCTTTTCATGGGTCTGTTAGCCATCTGGTTGTCTTCTTTGCAGAGGTCTGCTCACATCTTCCGCAATGGTTTTAAGGTTTTCCATATTTATTACCAAATTTCCAGAGCACGGCAAAGTCTAGAATAGACATGTGGCCATCCTTCTTTCAAGTCAACTGTGTCAAGGGGTTTAAAAGGTGATCTATAGCAAAGCTTCAGGGAAGAGGCAAGAGGGTCGGACCCCACCGACTTTGAATCCTGATTGCTGTTTCAACTTGTGTGACCCTGGGGGAGGTTATGCAACTTCTTGATGTCTCAGTTTCCTCCCTGACAAAAGGAATTTTATAATATCCATGTCATAGGGTTTTGTGAGGATGAAAGAGAAATGTGTGCTTCTCACACATTATGTCCTCAAAATGTTATCTGTAATAAAAGGTTCTCTCATTCAGTGGTTGTTTTACTCAATGAATGTGTCCGAGCAAATTTCGCTATAAAACGAATGTCCATTTGTTGAACTCCATCTGCTTCCACCCTAACGTCAGAAACACCCTCTGAGGAGAATTAAACCTTAAGAGACCGAGGGGACGCTTTCTGTTAGAACACTTATTGAAAGTGTTTCCACACCTGTAAAGTACTTCCTGTCTTATTTGATCCTCATGACAACCTCACAAGTTAATCCTTTTACAAAGGAAAATAGAGCCCAGGAGGTGAAAGAAATTGCCAGAAGGTGAGGTGGTTAGTTAATGGCAAAGGCAGGGTGAAAGCTGGACCCCTGCTTATTTCTTCCATCAGGGGGCTGTCAGAGGGAACGGCTTCCCCAGGAACAAAACTCCACGTGCCTAGTGCATCGAAACCCCCAGGAATTCTGGAAAATCACAGCTATGGGGTCCTCCCCACAGAGACGCGGATTCAGCTGATATTGGCTAATGCCTGGGCAGCCTACAGTTTAAAAGCACCCCTGGTGACAGTGAACCAGAGATTACTGAACTCATGGCAGATCGAGGAATTGTCTGATGCCCTAACTATTTAACAAAATGGTAATAAACTGAGGTAGGACCTGTCGGGGAAACACCACTGCCTTCTAATACGAGCGTTGCCTGCTCTTCGGAAGTTTGCCTTCTACTACATAGCTTTTATGAAAGACCTATATTAGGAACTGTTTGTGTTAACCAAAGGAAATCTGGAGAGGACTTTTCCTTTTTAGATAAAGGCAAAAGTGAAAATAGAGTTCTGCATTTGTTTTGCAGGGAGTCCCTAAGGAGGCCCCAAGAGTGGCGCCACCAAGCTCCTTCCCAGGGAACAATACCCAGTATGGAGCTGCCATAGCTCTGAGTGGTGTGAGCATCTGTGTTTGATTTCAGTTTATTTTATGCATCCGCTAGCCAGATGTGTCCTCGGATATCAGAAAAGCCCAAGAGGTTATTTCTTGGGTCTGAGAATGCTAAATATTTTTTTTTCCCCATATAAAACTGCTATTGCTATAAAACTGCTTCTTCAGGGGCACCTGGGTGGTTCAGTTGGTTAAGCGGCTGCCTTCAGCTCAGGTCATGATCCCAGGGTCCTGGGATCCCGCCCTACATTGGGCTCTCTGCTCAGCAGAGAGCCTGCTTCCCTCCCTCTCCCTCTGCCTGCCACTCTGCTTACTTGTGCTCTCTCTCTCTCTGTCAAACAAATAAAATCCTAAAAAACAAAACAAAAACAAAACTGCTTCTTCGCTTCACACTGTTTTGGCTCACAAAAGTTTTCGCAGGAATGCTCTATGGTCGATAGTAGGGGAAATCTATAAAGGATTTTTTAAAAAGATCACTTTTAATTAGTCAAGTAATACACAAATATGTTTACCTTGTGAAAAATGTACACAGCAAACAGATTTGGCTAAATTTCTCTTTACCATGCTCTTACCCTCAGAAATAACCACTGTTATCAAATCAGTCTAAATCTTCCAGATTTTCTATGCTTTTACATGTATTTCTCCACACTCACAGGAAACATATAGCAGTGTTCTATGTATTGTCATTGTTTCCATATATGGTATCCTATTGTATTGAATATCTTGTACCTTGAATCCCCCCCACACACACCCAGGTTTACAGAGAAAAAGTCGACACACATCACTGTACAAGTTTAAGGCATACAGCAAGATGGTATGATTTACATATATTGTGAAAATGATTAAAATCAGCTCAACTAACATCCACTTTCTCATATAGATACAATAAAAAAAGAAAGGGAAAAAAAAGAAAAAAGCTTTCTCCCTTGTGATAAGAACTCAGTATTTATTCTCTTAACATTCTTATATATCACAGAGCAGTGTTCGCTATAGGCATCATGTTGGACATTATATCCTTACCCCTTTTTTCTCTTACAACTAGAAGTTTGTACCTTTTGACCCCCCTCCCGCAACCCCCTCTCCAACTTCCACCTCGGGGAACCACAAGTCTGATCTCTTTTTCTCTGAGTTTGGTTTTCTATTTTCTTTTTTCAAGATTCCACATGTAAGTGAGATCATACAGTATTTGTCTTTCTCTGACTTACTGCACTTAGCATAATGCCTTCAAGGTCCATCTGTTTTCTATGGCTGAATTATAGTCCATTGTGTATATACAGCACAACTTCTTTATCCATTCATGGACACCTAGGTTGTTTCTAAGTCTTTTATAAATAATGCCACAATAAACATGGGAGTGCTGATACCTTTTTGAATTAGTATGTGTGTATGTTTTTCCCCCTTTGGATATAGTCCCAAAAGTGGAATCACTGGGTCATAGGGTAGCTCTATTTTGAATTTTTTTTAATTTTTATTTTTTGAAGATCCTGCACACTGTTTTCCAGAGTGGCTGCACCCATTAACAGTCCCACCAACAATCACAAGTGTTGTCTCTTTTCCACACCCTCGCCAGTACGTGTTATCTTTTGTCGTTTTGACAATGGCCATCCTAACAGGTCTGAGGGGATCATCTCATTGTGGTTTTAATCTGCATTTCCCTAATGATGAATGATGCTGGGTATCTCTTCCTGTACCTGTTGGACTTTTGTATTTATTTATTTATTTATTTATTTATTTATTTATTTTGGAGAAATGTCTATTTGGGTCCTTTGTTCATTTTTTAACTGGGGTATTTGTTCTCTTTTGTTTGCTGTTGAGTTGTATGAGTTCTTTACATAGTTTGGATATCAATGCCTTACCAGATATATGGTTTACAAATGCTTTTTCCCATTCCATAGGTTCTTCTCTCACTTTGTTGGCGATTTCCTTTGGTGCGCAGAAGGCTTTTTGTTTGATGTGGTCATACTTGTTTTGATTTTGTTGCTTATGCTTCAGGTGTTATATCCTAAATATCATGACCAAGACCCACATTGGGGAGTTTTGCTCTATGTTTTCTACTAGGAGTTTCACAGTTTCAGGTCTTACATTTAGGTCATTAGTCCATTTTTTTTTTTTAAAGATTTTTTATTTGTCAGAGAGAGAGAGGGAGAGAGAATGAGCACAGCCAGACAGAATGTCAGGCAGAGGCAGAGGGAGAAGCAGGCTCCCCGCCAAGCAAGGAGCCCGATGTGGGACTCGATCCCAGGATGCTGGGATCATGACCTGAGCCGAAGGCAGCTGCTTAACCAACTGAGCCACCCAGGCGTCCCTCATTAGTCCATTTTGAGTTAATTGTTGAGTGGTGTAAGATACGTCCAGTCTCATTCTTTTGCATATGAATACCCAAATATCTCAGCACCGTTTATTAAAGAGACTGTCTTCTCCATTGAGTATTCTTGGCTTCCTTGTCAAACATTAGTTGACCACAGATGCTTAGGTTTTGTTCTGTGTGTGTGTTTTTTTTAAGATTTTATTTATTTATTTGACAGATCACAAATAGGCAGAGAGGCAGGCAGAGAAAGGGCGGGGGGAAGCAGACTCCTTGCTGAGCAGAGAGCCCGACACAGGGCTTGATCTCAGGACCCCAGGACTACGACCTGAGCCAAAGGCAGAGGCTTTAACCCACTGAGCTGCCCAGGTGCCCCTAGTGTTCTTGATTCTGTTCCATTCTTCTACTTAACCTGTTTTTAGGCCAATACCATATTGTTTAATGACTATAGCTTTATAGTATAGCTTCAAATCAATAGTATAATGCCTCCTGCTTTGTTCTTTTTTTTTTTTAATCATTTTTTTCTTTCCTTTCCTTTTCAGAGAGCAAGATAGAATGTACATGAGTGGGGAAGAAGGTGGGGCAGAGGGAGACGGAGAGAGAGAATCTTAAGCAGGCTCCTGAGGAGCCTGACATGGGGCTTGATCTCACAACCCTAAGATCATGACCTGAGCCAAAATCAAGAGTCTGACACTTAACTGACTGAGCCACTCAGGCACCCCTTTCTTTCTCAAATCTTTGGCTATTCAGTGTCTTTTGTGATTCCACATAAATATGGACAGTGTTTTTTTACCTCTGTCAAAAATGCAGTTGAAATCCTGGTAGAGATTATACTGGATCTATTGATGGCTTTTGGTAGTATTGACATTTTAGCAAAATTAATTCTTCTAATTCATGAACATGGGATGTCTTTCCATTTATTTGTATCTTCTTCAATTTCTTCTGGCAATGTTTTGTAGTTTTCAGAGTAGAAATATTTCATCTCCTTAGTTAAATTTATTCCTAAGTATTTTATTGATTTTGAGGTATTATAAATGGGATCCATTTCTTTATTTCATTTTCAGAAAATCTGTTGTCAGTTTATAAAAATGCTACTGATATTTGCATACTAATATTGTATCTTGTGACTTTACTGAATTCATTGATTAGATCTAACACCTTTGGTTGAGTCTTTAGGATCTTCTACATATAGAATCATGTCATATGCAAACATGACTTCTTCCTTTCCAATTCTGATACTTTTATTTATTTTTCTTGCCTGATTTCTCTGGCTAGGGCTTCTGGTTCTATGTTGCATGGGAGTTGTGAGAATGGACACCATTGTCTTATCCCTATTTTTTTCTGCATCTATTAAAATGATGTGATTCTTTTCTTTTATTCTATTAGTGATGTATTACAGTGACTGATTTGCATATATTGAGTCATCCTTGCATCCCAGGAATAAATCCCACTTGATCATGGTGAATGATCCTTTTAATTTGCTCCTGAATTCAGTCTACTAATTTTGTATCTATATCCATCAGGGATATTGGTCTGTGGTTTCTTTTCTAGTAGTGTACTCTTCTGCTTTTGGTATTAGAATAATGCTAGCCTTGTAAAAATAGTTTGGGAATCTTCTCTCCTCTGATTTTTCAGAAAAAAAAATTGAGAAAAATTGGTGTTAATTTTTCTTTGAATACTTAGTAAAATTCACCAGTGAAGACATCTAGTCCTAGACTTTTCTTCATTGGGAGATTTTTTATTCCTTATTCTATCTCCTTACCAGTAATTGGTCTATTCAGATTTTCTATTTCTTCCTGATTCAGTCTTATTAAATTGCATCTTTCTAAAAATGTTTCCATTTCTTCAAGGTTGTCCAGCTTGTTGGCATATAGTTGTTCACTTACCTTGACTTTTTTCTCTTAACAATATGTTTCAAAGATCTTTCCATATCTCACTCTATATCTCTAACTCAGTCTTTTTTGAATTAAATTGATGTATATTTCATACTATAAATAATTCAGTCTATTATCCATTCCTTGATTAACAGACATCGTTCCATTTAGTACATAAGAGCTGCATGGTACTCCTTAATGTGAATGTACCATATTATAGCTAACCCTTTTCTTATTGGTAGTCATTGAGGCTGTTTCCTAGTTTTTGTTATTTAAAAACAGCACTGTAATGAAGAATGGATTTTGAACACATGTCATTTCAGCCATGTGTATGTATGTGTGTGTGTGTGTGTATTGTGTGTTACAAGCTAAGTTCCTAGAAGAACTGCTTTGGTAAAAGAGTGTGCAGGTTTTAAATTTTGTGGCAAGTTATTTAGTTACATGGTGGCCTCCCATCACCATTGTTCCAAATAAGTGACTGACAGTCAAGAAAAGAATTCTAGAATACCCATTTCCAAAACTCCGTGCCACATCCTCAGTTCCTTTCCTTAAAAATCTAGTAACAGATTGCAAAATGCCACTTCTCTAAGCACCAATTCAGAGAAAAGGGAAGGCTATCATCTGGCACAAATTCGGTACCATGACATGTTGGGGAAATCCATTCTGCAACTGACCGTTTCCTTTGGGAAGGGAGGGGGAGGCACCAGAATTAAATCTTTTCCCTTTCATTTATATCTTACTCACAGAAAGAAAAATTCCAAGTCTTTCAGGGTTTAGTATCAGTACATAGATCCTGTGTCATATGTCAGCTCAGGAAAGCCCTCTCTCTCTTTTCCTCCTCTTAACAAACATTTCAATGTCAAAATGGCCATGAGCCATAGCAGCTTGAAGAATCTTCCTGATGTGTGGTGGATGGTTCTTTTTGAGTTTTATTTAAATTTTCCCCCAAACCTTGATGTATTTTGGGCCTGAGCTTCTGGATGTGTGCAAAGTTAATTTGCATGTGTGATATCCAAGGAATGATTTAGAGTATAGGAGAAGGACTAGCCTGAGGTTTGCTTGCCAGGTACCCCCCTGGCCCTTGCCCAGCTCTGATATGGTCATTGAGGGTATAGGGGAGACATCAATGCAACAGAGACACGTGTTAGGGGTCCCGTCAGCTCTTACCTCAGGGGCGATGTAGTCTGGAGTTCCACAGAATGTCTTAGTGGTCACCCCATCCCAGATGTTTTCCTTACACATGCCAAAATCAGCAATCTTGATGTGGCCCTCTGAATCCAGCATCACATTGTCAAGTTTGAGGTCACTGCAGCAGACATAAAAATTTAAGGATTTAACAAATGCTATTTATTTCAAGTCAACCAACAGTCAGCTACTCAGGACGTGCAAAACACTGTGCTAGGTGTTGGGGAAGATCAGAGGTGAGTCTGAGCTGGCCCTTGCCCTCTGATAGTTTATTATCTGGCCGATAAAGAGGGGTCCACAAACTTGTCTGTTTCTCTTTTTCTACAGACCCAACTGTGCCAAGCATCTCACGAGGACACAATGAGACAGCAGCTCTGAGAGGAGAGAGCCACAGGAAGCTCAGTAAAGAGCAGAACATAAACAGAGGCCTCTTGTAGTCAGGAGCATTTCAAGAGTCAGTCCTTGTACTTTAAGGACCCCTTATATTCCATAGTTAGATACATTTTTCACAAAATTATTTTTTGAAAATATCTTTGAAGATCAAGGAAGGGAAAAAAGTAAATGAAGGAAAGTAGTTTATTTAGTTTCGAGTGCTCCAGCCTCTCCTAGGCTGATTCCTAGGACACGCCCCCAGGAGTTCCCCTAAATTTTCTCATTCAAAAAAAAAAAAAAAAAGGGTTGTACACCTACTATGTGACAGGCATTATGCTTGGAGCTGGGTATATAAGGTGAACCAGGTAAACAAACATTTTGCTCTTATTCAGATTAAATTCCAGTATAGGGAAAAAGATAATTAACAGGTGTCCAAATCTATAATTATTACATGATTATTAATTATAATTATTACATATTATTTAATTATTACATGATTATTGATTTTATGACTACTATCAATTTTAATGGCAGTGTGAAGAAAATGAAGAGGATGATGAATTAGTAATTGGGGAAGGTTTCTGTAAACAGGATGCCAGAAAGGTGTCATCTCCATGGAGGTAACATTTGAACTTTAACCTAAAGGACATCTGCTACACTCACATTCTTCCATTCTATCTGTGTTAATGAGGAGAGCTTGATTATTTTTAGCAATGCCTGCACATTCCCAGCATATTGGATTACTTCAATATCAACACACTTTCCTCCTCCCTAAACATCTACTCCAGTGTCAACACTTGGTGTTTCAGTTATCAATGAGCAGTGGTGATCCATGGGCCAGTCTTTCTCAATCTCAGTAGAGTCCAGTAGAGTCACCTCCTGAGAGGTAAGGGGGTCTACTATTTAATTCAGATCCCTATCTTAAATCACCTTCATTTGGTGGTGGACACCTGTGGTCCCTGCCTAATTTAGCATCTTGTGATGACAGCCTCCGCATATTCCTTTGAAGGACCATCCTTCCCTGATTCTCAAGCCATGTAATGTTGGTGGTAGTGATCCTAGCTTCTGGCTCCATGAGCAGTCATGGGGGCCTATCCTGGCCATTGGAAACACCTCATTCTTTTTTTTTTTTTTAAGATTTTATTTATTTATTTGACAGAGATCACAAACAGGCAGAGAGGCAGGCAGAGAGAGAGAGGAGGAAGCAGGCTCCCTGCTGAGCAGAGAGCCTGATGCGGGGCTCGATCCCAGGACTCTGAGATCATGACCTGAGCCGAAGGCAGAGGCTTAACCCACTGAGCCACCCAGGCGCCCGGAAACACCTCATTCTGCTGGTCACAGTGACTGTGCCAGGAATGGCCATGTGACCTAATATGAGTTAATCAAAGCCATTGAGCAACGGCTCTGGCACTATTGTTAGGAAAGAGATGAGCTCTTTTTACATTGGGGCTGCTCGGGTGGTAGAACGTAAGTCTGGAAGTGCCAGCGGTCACCGGATAAAGAAGAAAGCTAGTAGAGATAAAGCAGAACTTGGAGGGAAGGTGATAAAGTGAGCACTCATAACATTTGAGCCCCCAGATCCATCCTGGCGTAAAGTCAGATCTGTCCCCTGGACTTTTGTTATGTCAGCTAAAGAAATATCTCTTTTAACAAGTTAGTTTGGATTGAGTTGCTGTCGTCACCTTTGACTAAAAGAATACAATGCAAAAAAGACATTGGCATTTCCTACCTGTGTCTGTGAGGTCTGGTCATCCAAGGGGAGGCCCACTTGCACCCCACTTGCCAACAGCAACATACAGTGATCTTTGGTGCTGTCCATGGTACCACACATATCCAGCCTTCATCCTTCTACAAGCCACAGTGGTCTCTGAATGACATCTCTGAACTTAAACTGGACTTTATAGCAACTTGCTTCACCTAAAACATGCCATATCTACATGTGATTTGATTAACAGAGACCCATGACGCTCCCCTCAGTTTGACCACATGCCCCCAAACGGGCAGCTGGGCAAACTAGAAAAGTGGTGACAGCTTCATGTGTTATAGAAAAGGAGCTTCAGGGGGCGCCTGGGTGGCTCAATTGGTTAAGCATCTGAGTCATTATTCCAGGTCAGGTCATGGTCTCAGGGCCGTGAGATTAAGCCCCATGTCGGGCTCTGTGCTCAGCATGGAGTCTGCTTGAGATTCTCTCTTTCCCTCTCCCTCTGCTCCTCCCCCAACTTCCTCCCTCCCTCTCTCACACATTATATAAATAAATAAATAAAACCTGAAAAAAAGAAAAAAAAAAAAAAAAGGAGCTTCAGGTGCCAATGGCCAGCAGGTAATGCAGCTGGGGGACAACCCAGTCATATTCATCATCACATATGTTTTTTGATCATCTACTGCATTATTTTGTTCAATGGAATAATCCTGCAGAAAGGGGTTGGAACAATTGTTTTCATTTCAGAAATCCATCAAGGGCAAAACCATCACACATTCTAGGGATAGTGATCCATAAATAAGACATGAAACTTGGAAGGATCTTTGTCTCCCCTGTAACCAACATCTCCAGCCACAGTCCTCAAAGAGGGCAAGTCTAACATAATTCTTCATCCTCTTAACTTAAGAATTCTCCAATTAACTAGAGATCTAAATGAAAGAGGGATGCAGCATTTTTAAAGACCTTACCACATGAAGGTCATCTCAATGAAGTTATGAAACCATGTATCTTCTGCCATGGAAATTTTTTTTTTTACTGGTTTTCATTTGATTATCAATTTCACAAACTCTGCCTCAATCAAGGTTTTTGACTGTGAGCAATAAAAATCAACTCTAACCATGTCAACCTGGAAAGGGGTTGTTAAAAAAGGCCTTGGGAGTCCACAGAATTTCCTAGAAGGCTGGAGAATCAGATTTAGAGGGGAGGCAGCCAGGAAGAATGCTTAGTTGCGATGCAGAGCTGGTCCAGTGAAGGTGTCACAGATGCCACCACTGGGTACAGCCATCCTGTTCCATGAACCCTAATGCTGGACTCTGGATATTGTTGCTAAGAACTGCTTCTCCTCATGCCTCCAGAAACTAGATGTAGCTGATTTCTATGGCCACTCTCGATTCTATAGTCTCTGCCTTTCTTGGCCACTACTTCTGGTTCATGGTGTTGTGTCAGTGTGACAAGTGTCAGAGCCTGGGTTGTGTGTCTGCCTTTGATGCAGGGAGGCTGTGAGAATATCTGGCATTTTCCTTCTATATAGCAGGAGATGGACTTTGTTCCTACACATGAATGAAAGGGATTCAGATGCTGAATGCCTTAAAAGAGAGACTAGTGCCCCCTAAAAAGTATGAATAGTTGAGGAAGGATTGAAGAATGTGTTAGTAGAGAGAGCTCTGAGGTAGGCAAAGTCTTAGCACCGAAATCTAATCTTTTATTTTATGACTGGAATGGCGAAGGTCCTGGATCCCAGACCCCAATCCACGACCCTACTAGACAGGAAACCCAACGCTGAATCCCACCCCAGCTCTCAAAGAAATTCTATGTCCTCTCCCAGCCCCTCCCCTGGGACTGGATTTTCTTCCACTTAACCTGCAGTCCCACATTAATCTCCTCAGCAATCCTCAGTGGCCAGTTCTATTATAGCCAAGACCCATCCTGCCCAAGAGGAAGGTTCTAATGTCAGCACATGGAGTGAAAATCAAGTAGAGTGAATGATTACCCACGATGCCCATTCTTCAGCTAAGCCCCTGCTGAAGTTCCTGGCTTGAATGAGGAGTCACATCATACGGGAGATGATGTGTACCCTTCAACACCAGAGTGCCATTTGGCACAAGATGCCCCCACTTGGGGCAAAGAGGAAACAGAATCAGAGGTTTCCCAAGTGCGTCTCTTGCACACACAGTGGTACGGGTTCATTGAGGGCAAGCATGGCCAGAATGAGCATGCAATTTACAGCTTAAAATTCTTCTTTTTCTCTCTCTTTCTGTTTCTTCACTGACCTCGCCCACGTGGCAGGTGAAACCAGTCCTCTTCCTGACCTTCATCCCTCCACTCTTAGGGACAACGAAGCAGAGTAGGGACTCTACATCCCCAGGATGATTGTCCCTTCCCCCACTAGATGCATATCACCACTTCAAGGGGTTCAAAAAAAGCCTCTGGACTTTGAAGGCTTCTGGCAAGATGCTCACCTCCCATGTCTCCATTCCACCAGTGCCCACGGCCTCCGCTCCACTATCTGCCTTGAGACCGCCAAGGCTCATCTTTTTACGCTTTTTGGCCCCACGACCTTCGGCTGCAGCAAGACGTCGATCCCGTGCCCTCCACAGGGTGACAGGTGTCCCTGTCACCACCTGGCACATGCCGGCCCCCCTCTCTCACTCCGCTTTTCTCCCTAGTGCTTATTGCTACGTGACAGACTGTATCTCTGTGACCTAATATCCGTCTCCCTCCACTACAGCTGAAGTCTTACAAGGCAGGAGGTTTTGCCTGTTTTCTTCTCAGATGCTGCACCCGAACCATCTAGAAGAGCTCCTCGCACATAGTAGGCTTTTAGTAAATGTCCGTCAGCTACATGAGTGGTATGGAATTTTATGGCTCTTCACGATCTCTTAGATAGACCTTCACCCGTGCCAAGTGCCCTCTGGAAGCCCCAGGCCCCTTCCAACCTCTCTTGCGTGACCAACCAGCCCGAGCCTGCACTGCCTCTGCCGTTTGCACCCATGTGGTGAGAGAAGGAGACTCGTACAGCCGGACCACTGACAAAGAGCCGCCTCAGGCTCAGTCACCTGCCTTGCATGAAATATGAAACGGTATGACTCATACAGCTATGATCGTACACTTGCTCCTCCAAAAACGGGCAAATGCCAAGTCCTGAACTTAATCCTGTCTTTCAGGGTAAGCCTTTTAGAGATTCATTTCTACATTGTAGTTACGTAGCAAAAAAAAAAAAAAAAAAATCATCTCATAATAATAGGATCCACCATATCCTGCCAGGCGAGATTCTCTGCTTGCTCCCCAGATTTGGGGTCCCAAGGCAAGAGAAGGAAGCGCTGGGTCCCCACCAGTGAGCCTGCCCTCCTTCAAGCAAAGGGTCTCCCATCGGAGGCTCTGAACCATCACTGGCGGCGGGGTCCATAGCGATCTTCCATCACCATCTAGAGCTGCCCAAACTCTGCCAGGGCAGTGGGCGATGCGAACACATGCCCAAGTCAGGACTGGAGGATTCCTCCCCCACCAGGGATTCTAATTTTAAAAAGCAGTTAAAGAAAGAGTCAGGGAAGGGAGGAGCTGAGGGAGAAGAGGGGATGGAAGGGGTTTGGTGCTCACTTACCGGTAAATGATGCCCTTGCTCTGCAAGAAGAATAGACCGATGGCAATTTCTGCAGCGTAAAATCTGAAATTAGGAAAAAAAAAAAAAAAGCAATGGAGAGATTCAAGGATACCGTTATGCCTGGCAAAACCTCAGAATTCAATACAGAATTGAACAAGGCGTGGGGCAGCCGCGTCCCACCGTGGACGGTCAGCCGCACATCTTGTAACACGACGTGCGGGGGGGTGTGGACGAGTGAACAGGGTTGAGAGACCCACAAGGCTGCCTTCAGGACGAACCGGGGTGGGCAGAGAGGTGGGGAGGAGGCCGTGGGAGAGGGCAGACTGGCTGGAGAGTGAGTTTCAGTCCAAGGCAAGTTCTTGAATACCTGAATACTACCAGCTAATCTGCCGAAGGCTTACCGTCTACCTACCGAAACTGTAGATAATTATCTGATTAAATTCTAACAACCATCCTGTGAGGTAGGTCCTACTAGTACCTCCCTCTTTCCTTAAAGGAGGCATTGAGGCTCAGTGAGAAAAAAATGACCTGGCCAAGTTATATTGCGAAGGAATGGCCCAACCTCTGCCCATGTAAGCCCTTTATAATGGTGCCCACGTAATTAAGTAATATTAATAATTAATAATGCCCCCAGTGTCTGCCTTTGTAAGCTCTTAATGGAGGCCCAGAAGGAAAGAGATTTTGAGAGAAGGAGAAAGTCCCAGTGGTAGCACAGGGTCAGGTGGGGCTTTAGGGTCCTGACAATTTGTTTTATGTGATGATGGGATGAGGGTCTGTGGTCCACTAGCTTTTAGAAGTCAAGGAAGAGCCGAGCCCAGAGTCCCCTTAGAACCATGGCAAGACCTAGGCATGGCGTAAGGAGCTATCTAGAAGGCAAACCCTAGAGGAATACGGTGCTCACCACCGTGGCCGGCAGGAGGGGAAAGGGCAGCGCTGAGCTGAACAGGAGTCAGCAAGCCTCTGGAGTGGCCAGATGGGCCCTAAGTGAGTCCTGAAGGGCTTTCTAGAGGGACAATGAGATCTAGCCAACTGCTCAGGAGAGGTCGTCTCTGCTAATCCCCTGACTTGCTGCTCCTGGTCACCACAGGGGAAGTACATGATGAGGTCTGTGTTCTCAAAAGAAAAGCCTGGCTGCCTTGGGGACTGACAGGAACAGACTGGACTCAGCAGGGGAAACACATTTCCAAAAACCCTAATCAGTGTCCCCACCCAAGAGCCTCAGGGCACAGCCACAAAGCAACTTGATCTGTCATTCCCCGGGGAAGGAGGGCATCCAAGAGAGTGAGCCATGGTGTAGGGCAAAGTACAAGAGCAAAAATCTGGGTCAGAGTGGGGATCTGTCTCACATGCTCCAGCTCTGTGATCTTGAGCAAGTTTCTACAAACTCTCTGGGCCTGGCACAGAGTAAGTGCTCAAGAAAGACTGGCGCATGAACACACGAACGCTACCATGACATCCCCCCCCAAAACCTCCGGGGCCTTTCCTTCGGAGCCAGGGGCAAACATCCGCGATAAAGAAATGGCTGTGGTTTTCAAGCTTCACATTCTTAGCTGGTGTCAAGGAAAGAAAGAAGTATTCCTATTGAGCAGAACACCTTCTTCCCCGGCCACAGACTTCTCATGAAGAAGCAGCCCAAGATGCGAAGAATCGCTATTCAGCTGAAAACCCAAGGTAACTCATAGCCCACCCAGGTATCCCAAGGGAAAAGTTTGTACTTACACAGCATGAGGCTCCTTAAACCGGCCAACTTGCTGGATGTGGTACATGAGGTCACCCCCGTTCACGTACTCCATCACAAAGTACAGGCGGTCCTAGGAGAAGGGAGCCAACCATATCATCAACATCCCGTGTTTCTCAGGTTCCACGTGGAGAGCAGGGACGAGGTGGGATTTAGGATCAAAACCCCTAGGACTCTATGCCAGGTCCCCATCTTCAGGCCCATTATTCCCCCAAAGGTCACTGCATATACACAACTGGGCATAGGCAGTACATGATTTTTTTTTAAATTAATAACTGTCAAGTTATATTCGTTTGTCCTGGAAAATGTAATTAGCACATTAATATTATGACTTCATGGATATTATGGTTTAGGATAAAGCTAATTGTTATAAAGAATGGAAAAGAAACACATAGATCATATTACAGATAATAGGTAGCTGTGGTAATCACCCCCCATGACGGCCCCCTGTGACATTCCCCTCCTGGTATTCACGTCCTTGCGCAGCCTCTTCCCACAAGGAACAGGACTGACTTGTGTAACCAGTAGAATAGTGTAAAAAATGACGGGTGTGATTTCCATGGCTAGGTCACAAAAGATACTGTGGCTTCCACTTTGCTCTCTCTTGGATCGCTTGTTTGGGGAAGCCAGCCGCCAGTCCCAGGAATGCTTAAGCGACACCTCAGGAAGGTACATCTGGCAAAGAACCAAGGCCTCCTACCAACAGCCAACACCAACTCCCCAGCCACCAGAGGGAGCCAGCCTGGGAACAGACCCTCCAGCCTCAGTCAAGCCTTCTGATGACTGTAGCCCACATGACAGCTTGATGACAACTTTCAGGTGGGACACCCAAGCTACAACCACCCAGGTTAGCCACTCTGTTGAGTTCCTGACCCACAGAAGCTGTGAGATAATAAATGCTTATCATGGTTCTAAGCCCTTGAGGTTTGAGGTATTGGAGTAGATATCTAACACAGTGATTATGGGGGGGGGGATGAATTAATAGAATTTGAGAAATAGTGGCCTCGGAGGGCATATCCAGAAGGAAAAGAATTTGGGCCAGAAAAAGAAATATACCCCATTGAGGGAAAACTTTAAACGTGTCTTTCAAGGGAGATGGGAACTCTCTTAGAGTCAGGGGCTGTGTACTGCTCAGCTGTGTAAGCCCTGTTCTTGTCCCAAGACCTGCTCATAGGAGGTGCTAGAGAATGGAGAACAGTGCCAAACAGACTTTATTTGGAACCCAGCTTTGCTTCCTGACAGCTGGATGATTTGGAAAGATTATTAAACATCTGAGTCTCTTCATCTGTGGCATGGATATTAATAATAGTAATAATAATAATAATAACTGAACCACAGGGTTATTGCTGGGACTCAGTGAAACACATGAGTGTTGTGGTCCTTGGGGGACACTTTCATGAGATTTGCCACTTCTCCTTCCATCAGGGGGTGTCCGCTAAATGAAAAAACGACTTCACCTCTTCTCAGAGATGCCTACTTGGGTCAAGTCATTCCTTGATGCCACATGATCAATTAAAAAAAAAAAAAGCATCAAAGAGAACAGGATGGAAATGATCAGAGCATCCCGCACAAAGTACCCGTAGGTGTTACGTTGTGAAATGTGTGTTTTGGTTCTATTTATAGGTTGGTACGGTTGGGTCACAATGTAAAAGGAGGTTTGCTGCCCAAAGTCACAAGGCTGTCGTGTGGGCCTGTGAAGCCAGGAGCCCAGAGAGAACGATGAGGACGTGTGTGGAGAGCTCGAACGTGCTGCTGGCCCTATCACGAATGTTCCATCCACTGTCAGCAGAATCTTTCTTACAGTGCACAGAGCTGTGTCGTCTATGTAACAGTCATAGCTGCATTTGTCCAATGTGTCTTGAGTGTCTAATGATAGGAATGATACCTTTTACGAAATAAAGCTACCATCTCGTAAGCATTTATCATGGGACTGAGCCAACTGCTCTATCAATTTTGCCTCACTTCTCTCTCTGAACAATCCAACAGGACAGTATGACCCTTCTCCTCCATTTAAAGACGTGAACTAAAGCCCAGGAAAGGGTAAGAAACTTGCCTCAGGTCCCTTAGCTGCTGGACAGCCCAGCTGGGATTTGAACCCAGGCAGGTCCGTTCCAGGCTGCTCTTGTGGAAGGTTCTGAGCTAGATGCTGTATGGGTGCATGGGCATGTCCTCCCCTCTAACTGCTTCCCGTCCAGGAGGGGAGGGGAGGGGTACAGAGTTCCAGCCGCAAAGCACGACAAAAACTGGCAGGTCACAGGCAAGAAGTAAAGGGTAATCGATAATTTTTGAAAAGTCAAGAGATTTCCTCAGGCCAACACTACTTGACCCTTATGACATCTTTAGAGAGGTAGAATTATCGCTTCTGCTTCTCAGTGTCCAAGGCCTATGAGATTTGGGGGAAAAAAAAAAAAAAAGGTCACATCCAAGTTAGTGGCAGAGTGGAGACAGCCAGAACTGCCAAGCACCCAGCCCCTGGTTCTTTGGGGTTTTTTTGATAGAAAACAAGCCTTAAAAATAGCATCTGTCTTTGCTGCACGTTGAAGGGAACCAAAACACTTGCTTTTAAAAATTATTTTTAAAACTAGCAGATGGCATTGGCCACAGAGAGAAAAGTAAGTGAGGGAGAGATTTCACTTGCTTGCTTTCTGCTTGGAAGAACTCAGCTTGCCCCCCAAACTCATTAGTTAGAATCCCAACATCAGGGAGCTCTGCAGATAATGCCACGTTCTGTGGTTTGTTTCTAACACGAACTGCATGCGGGGAAACCCTGAGACCCATCGTCTTTGAACTGTACGGAGTTGGGCTTCGGCCCTCCGGTACTTTGCACATTAAAAACCCTGTGGCTGGCGTCTTGCTTGCCTTCCATTTTCCGAACAAATACGTAATGATGCCCTCTTAGGCTAGGCATTACTGCACCGCCAAAGATGCTGTTGTGAAGAAATCCGTGGTGCCCAATGATAAGAACTCCCCCGAGGAGTGGGGAGACCAGATAAGTTTCCAAACAGCAACGTTTCCCAGAATGTGGTGGGAGAGAACTCCAGGTGGGCTATGTATGCGTATGGCTTTCATTCCTTGGTTTTGTGTTCATTTTAATGTATATTTTGAACACCGTAACAACGTCTGAAGTCCCTGATTTTACGGCTATGACTGCTGAGAGGGAGAGAGAGGCACGTAAAGAGGTACAAAGGAGAAGGAAGCCAGCTAGGGGAGGAACAGATTCTGATACACTGCATAAGACCATCACCCTTCCAGCTTCCGTTTTCTCACATACCAGCTTCTAGATTTTACTGTTTGTCTGCCTCATCAACTAAAATTTACTTATTTTAAAAATATTTCCATGAACTCACTTTTTCACTGGAACATACTGTTTAAAAAATTTTAGAACTTGATACTAAAGTCATAAATGGAAATTCATTGTCTCTGTAAAAAAATAAAGGCATATCTGGAGTCTATCAACTCCAAGCGACATCCAGCCTGGCTTGGCTACACCAATCCTTCAACCGTCTTACGTTTAAAACAAATACATTTTGTTCAGAGGCCACCAAGTTCATCTCCCACCCCAAGGTAAGGAACATCAAAATGTGAAAAACACTGCCGGTGGCGGTCGAGAGCCAACCTTGAGCAAAGTGAATTTTATTTTATTTTATTTTAAGATTTTATTTGTTTGTTTGGCAGAGTGAGAGAGACAGCACAAGCAGGGGGAGAGGCAAGCAGAGGGAAAGGGAGAAGCAGACTCCCCAGTGAGCAGGGAGCCTGATGCGGGGCTCAATCCCAGGACCCTGGGATCAAGACGCGAGCTGAAGGCAGACACTTAACCGATTGAGCCACCCAGGCACCCTTGCAAAGTGAATTTTAGAACTTTCCTTGGGCATTTATTTTTGCAAGTCATGTATTAGGTATTAAAGGGACAAAAATGATGAATAAGATACAGACCTTGCCCTCGGAGAATTCAGAGTCTTTGTGAAAACAAATATGCAACTAACTCAAGCCATAACCTAAAATAAAATGTGATAAGAGAAATTGCGTGACAGGCACAAAGAGGGAGCTCCGGGGGCGTCAGCTAACTAAATGGCCCTCACCCAGTGCCTCTAATTCTTACATAATTATTCCTGCCTATAGTGCCCTGAAGTTTGACTTTGCTCCCCACTCTTGTTTTTTTAATTTATTAATAATATTACTATTATTACTATAATAATAATAATTATTATTATTATTTTAGTAATCTCTACACCCATCAGGGGGCTCGAACTTACAACCCCGAGATCAAGAGTGTTGTGATCTTCTGAATGAGCCAGCCAGGAGCCCCCATGTTCCCCACTCTTCGGATAAAATTACTTCAAGACCTCAAAAGATCTTTCTTCTGGTCACATGCACTAGTTTTCGATTAGGACCTATTTGCTGTACCTACTACGTGAAAATCAGAAAGTATACATTGAGTATATCCTCAATATCTCCAACTTGTTTAATTTTCCAAAGAGGACATATCACAGCTCAAAGTTTCAACCCTCGTCTCTCTGGGCTGATGAAAATCTTGACTTATATTTCCATCCTCCTTCTTTCTCCTGAGCTCTAGTCAGCTCCAGCTGGCTACAGGACTTCTCTACGTGGGTGTCCCACTGTCAACTCCAATTAAAAGCTCAGAAAGGCAAGCTCACCATCTTTCTCTTCAACCTAGCCAGTCTGCTCAACTTCCAAAGTATTTTTCCCAGATTGCCATTGTTATTGGTCTTTTTCTTCCTTATCCGCTGCCCTTGTCCCCTCGGCAGGAAACGCCTTCATCAGTTTTAAATCTCCTTTCCCCGTTATCTCCCGTATTTGATCAGTAAGTAAATGGAACTAAATGTCTGTCTGTCACAGTGCATCATGCAAAATGGTTGGACAGCATGTCTCCCATCTGGAGCATGAGTGTAAGGGTCATTTGATTTAAAACACTGACTGCAAGGCATGTGCCGAATTTATTTGGGGGGCCCGGGATAGGGCAGAGAATTCAAAGAAATCATCATTTTTTTTTCTCTAAGACAGCTGAAAGTGGGATGTGACAGGATGTCCATGTGACTGCCGGGGGGAGTGGGG